TTTATGTTTCTGTATCAATTCATTCCATTACTCCATGCTTTTGGGTAAAAAAATAACTAAGTTATATAAATTTTATTGGTTGCTATTCTAGTTTTGAAAATTACACTAATACACTATATCATGATTTTGAAGAAAATGTCCAAGCAATAATTTTGTGTGCTGTTGTTAACAAACAACAAAAAATTGTGTTAGGTCTTCTTTGGGTACTTTTTGTACTAATTAAAAAGTTTATTTTTCTACTAGCATATGCGTTGAAGAGGACCTGTTTGACTGTTGAAGATTAAAGAACAAATAATTCCGGGTCCTTCACCCATTGACATATGACACGTAACGTTCGGTAATAGGCTAAAAGTAATGAATAAGAAGATGACAATTTTGATGCGTCTACTAATTTCAATACCACCGTGACATAGTCAGGTGTACGAATACGACAAACGAAGCATTCGTTGTCACAGGAAATAAAAACACTTTCTATTTCGAGTAATTTGGCAATTATAAAAATCGAACACAATTCGAGGATTCAACATTTCAAAAAACAGCGTGTAAAACAAGTATATTAAAAAAAGAAACAAAAGGCTTATGCCTAAATATTAGCCCATTGGAATTCTTAAGGCCCATATGAAATCTTATCATCATGATACATAATTCATAAACATAGGCCCATATTAACCGCTATTACTCACACAATTACCGATGATCAGAGAGACCAAACAACTTTACCAACTTGTTACGCAGCTTTATCAACAGTGTAGTCGGTTCTGATTCGTGTTATTTACTCCGTTTCATTAAATTGTGTATGCATATTACTGTGATCTTGAGCAGAAACGAGTTAAACCGAAGTTGAATCAATGTTAGACCAATAATCAGAGTTGAGCACTAGTTTCTAGTGTTTTTCAATAAAATGTCAATAGTGTTGTTTTTATTTATTTTTCGTCTTAATGCCAAGTCCCAGATATATTTTTCCAGATAAGTTTACAGATTAATGTCATGCCTCCACAATCAAATTAACATTGAAGAGAACAGTTTACGGACTGACCCAAAAAAAAATTTGAAAGAAAATAATGTAGCAGCAAAGAGGAAAAGATCGATTATTATCAACGATTAATCGATCAAATTATTCCTCACACAGCCAATACATGATTTAGGCAACTGGGAAAAAGAGAGAGATCGATGATCGATTCACTCGGCAAAAAGTTGCCTTTTACTAACAAAACCATTACTGAAACATTTTTTGTAACAGAGACATAAAACAAAACAAGGTTAAAAAACTCGAAAGAATCGTAGATTTTATAATCAAGAGATTAAACAACGAATTTCCCATCAGAGTAACTATGACAATATAAGCAACATATGGATCAGATCCATAGCTTTTGATTTGGAATCATCATTAGGAAATCTATAGTTTAAGACGAAAAAAAAAAAAAAAGACTGTCTGAATTATATATCATAACCGTGAAACAAAATAAAAGAAGCGAAAGAATGTTCACTAAAACAAATTAACATCGTATTTAAAAAATGTAGGGTTTTCGAAGAACACGACTCAGAACTCAGAAGATTGAAGAGAATACGGAACTGAAGAGACTATAAAAAGGATGATGATGGAGATGACGGCGCAAATTAGGGTTTTCTGGTGAAAGTTATTGTGGGCCTCTATGTTCCAACTCGGCCCATTATAATGTGCGATCCGTTATAAAATCACCCAAATTATAAAATGACCCTAGCCCAAAGTAATTAGGACGATGCAGTTTGGTGGAAATTTATTTTACTGTTGGTAAATCCTGCTCCTCCGTGGTAAATAAGATAAGGAAAGTTTAAACAAAACAAAAATCGGGAAAATGATTATGAACCATGATTGATAAATGAAAAAATGCAAAGGTAGAATAAAGAAGTTCATAGAAAACACAACAACAACAAAATGTTGAGTTACCGAATCTAAACTATCAACGTTGTCGCTAGGGGTGAAAATTTTGGAACCTCTGCATAAGAATTATGCGAGTCGTTTTATTTGTCTTCTTGATCAAATCGTCGTTTTTTTTTCGCGAAAGATCAAATCCAAATCCTAACCAAGAATTATCAGAAATAAACCAACAAGAAACTTCAATCAATCTATAGAGGAGCAGTCTGGATATATCTCTTCTCATAGAGACCAGTAACCTGATCAGCAACAGCCCACATAATTGCTTGTCCAGGCGGAATCCTCATTAGCCTCGGCAATAATCCTCTCCATAAAGCTACTAATCCTTCCTCCGCGTAAATCGTTCTAATGGCATGAACCATACCTTTATATTTCAGCCCGCCTTCACTGTCTCGGCTTTGAGCCATCAACCTTGTTTTAACCACGTCAAATGGTCCAGTACAGAACGGACCTGCGGTTCCAGCTAAAAACCCTGAGATCATTGATTGCCATGGCTGCAAGATTTTACCGTCACCTTCGTGTTTGTTCCATAAGAGTACATCAAAGGCGTTTTTTGCTGTGAACATTACTGCTTGGTTAGTCCCGTTACGCATAACCGTTGGTGCTGCACCTGACCATAACCCCAATATGCTTTCTTCTCTCACGATGGTACGCGCACAATGTATTGGTCCTTTGTACTTGAAGAGCTCGGGACTCAATCCTTTCTGTTGCTGAAGTCTAATCTTCACCACCTGGAGATTTAAAGGAATCAAGAACATAGAACTCAATCCATGAGTGAAAGGATTCACTTGAGATACATAGAAAAACTCTTAAATCCAAAACGTTATCTCTATAAACAAACATGAATCCGTTTTATGAAACCAGTCAAAGACTCCAAATGTTTCGACTTAATGCTTATGATAAGCAAGAAGACGATTCTCTGGATCAAGATTTTGACATGAACAATAGGACCTTAAGCACAATGCCCATAAAACGTATCAACGAGATTCGTTGCCATTTTACCAAAATCAAGCAGATCGGAACAAACAATTCTCAATTCCATGACTAATTTATTGATAAACAGATGATTCTGGTTGTATAATCATAGAATTTTCAACTTTCCAACCAACTAATTAGTATTAAACTAATCTTTAAATCGAATCGCAATCTAATAAAATATTCAATCAAACATGAGATTTCGTCAGAGCTTTAATGGCCCGTAAAGTAAACGAAAAGGCAAAAAGAAATGTAAAGCTTTAACCTCAAAGGGTGTAACAATGGCGAGAGCTTCGAGAACACCAGCACCGAATCCGGAAGCCAAACGGCCACGATTGCTAACTTTTCCGGTCTCGGAATCCTTGAACGCGGTTTGGAACATAGCGTTAGATCCCATCCTAAGCGTGTACTTGAGCGTGAGATGAGTCGCGAACGGGGTTAAACCTTTCCATAAAGCACGAACTCCTTCCGTACGAACCACCGTCGAACCACAGTGAGCGATTCCTTTGTACGAACCGACGCGATCTAGCTGGAGACGCGTTTTGATTACGTCGATTGGTTGTAGACAACACGCCTCGACGACTCCACCGAGAGAACCGGAAAATGCTTTCATGTACGGCGGAATCGATGCCTGATTCTTCGATTCCGTCGACATCGCCGGAGATCCTTGGCTTAGAGCTCTCTCTCTCTCGGAGTAAAGCGAGAGTTTGTTGCGTTTCGCTTATGGCTTATACACTTATTCGTCTTCCTCTGATTTATTTTGTTATTGTTTTTTTTTTAATTGAAAGGGGAAGATTCGGAAAAATGTTTGGTTCGAACGCTCTAACAAAATGAGAAAGTTGTATTTGTATCCTTAATTTATAAAATCAGAGGAAGTGTGACAGAGAAAATGACATTTTCTACACGTGTCATTCTCACAAATAAATATTCCAATACTAATATTTGTTTTATTTCGGTAGGGAACATTTAAAACATTTTCTCTTCGACACATTGTATTGTGCGCAAGTAATTTGTATGAAATTAGTGTTTCAAGAAAAAGAAAAAAAAAATCTCTTCTAATAAAATTGATTTAGCTAAAAGAATTATGAAAAGGAAAAAAGGAACATAGTGAAAGGGGAATTCGATTTATCTTCAACACACGTTCTTGCGTAACGTAACGTTCTTTTCATCCACAATGTTCAAAGATTCTCTTCTCATGTTTTTATTTTATTTTGTCAACCGGTAATTTTCAAACAACAACCCAAATTAATCTATAAATATCATAAACTATTCTTTATAAAAAAAATCATTAAAATCTATGAAAATTCAACATTTTAGGAGTATCATTTAAACCGGTAACCAACTATGATTATATCAAAAACTAATAGTCTCCAAAATTTTCTTATATCAAAGTGAAAAAAACTTAACCATGGTGTCTAATTAATAGTCCAAAATATTTTGGCCATTCAATTACCATATATTGCTTCAATAGTTAACATTGTTATATTTTTTTCTCAAAAAAAAACATTGTTATATTTTTTCTAGCGATAAGTTATTTCATATTTTCTTTAAAAAAATTATACAACGTATCAATCAACCAAAGTAAACTTTAAGCTTGTTCAATGCGCTTTCTAATTTTTTTACTTGCGTTATTCTATTTAATAAAAAAATTCTTATATGTTTATGTAACAATCTGTATTCTGAAAATTTTGTATATTGATTGACTTTAATTGTATTCTCGATTTTTGAAATTAGTGAAATTATTAGACCGAAAAAATTCTATAATCAACATTTGATTAAAACCCACTAAATACGTTTAATTTTAATTGAAAAATGAAAAAAATTGTTTGAATGAAAATATAATCAAATATAATTTCTTATGTTTGATGTTGACAAAAAAAAAATTAAACCCTCTATATATTAATTGAGGAGACACTAAGGTGAAAATCTTATTTGTCACTCAATGAGGATATCAAGGAACATGTCATCTAAATTAACCAATGAAAACATTTCAATTAATTCTAGATATTCTTATTAATTTTTAGCATAAACCCATTAATACACGTTTTGCCAATCTAAATCCAACCAAGTGTAATATTTAGACTTACCATATTATCAATTTTAAAAACTTCTTTTAAACTGAGAAATTTTAAAAAATATTAGTTATATTTTATAAACTTTTTATTATTATATTTGTGACAATATTATTTATTGTTTATATATGTATTTAGATTAATATGATATATAAAATTTTAACACATTTCATTATAGAAAAATAAATATTGTTTTTCGTTTATTATATCCGACAAATTCATATAAATTTAAAATTTAATTGATTTATCGCATACTCTATAATTTACACGAATATTAAAAATTAATTTTACACTTAAAATATTTTGAAATAAATAAAATTTTCATATGTTCTGATCAATTGCACATAAAAATATTAAAACTGATGGCATCAAAATATGTTTGATCAAAATTTAACTTGATTATACTTATACACAATGCATATCATTTTGTAAGTTTATAAATATTAGAAATCATATAATTTGTTAGACACATTTACATATTATAATATATTAAAAATATATTAAATTATTTAATCCCACGTTTGGCGTGGATCAACATCTAGTTGTACACAATTTGCATCAAGTTGTTAACCAGAACCATATTCATCGAATGTTATTATACTCGTTTGAACAAATTTTATAGCTCATGATGTTGAGCAAGATGTAAAGAAAGAACCACATCGCAATCAAACGTGTGTCCACCAACCTGAAGAAGAAGAAGAAAGAATGTGAAAAATGTTGAGATTTTCTTACGAAGATCATGAAAA